TTTTGTGTGTGTGTGCTCCCAGGATGGTGAAATGCAGCCACCCCGACAGAGAGGGAAACCAGCCAAGGTGAAAAGTGATGGTATTCAGACCATTTACACCACCGTAGACCATTGCAAACAGGTAGGAAATGAGGACCTTTCATTCAATTCACCTTATGGGAGATTGAAGCCCGTCAGAACCAAAGTGGAAAAAAATAATAATAACCTGATTGAGAAATCAGGTTTGTTTTGGAGGGGGGGGGAATCAAACTCAGGTCTCAGATCTGCTCCGGTTTCAGTTCTGATGAAGGTAGAGAATTCAGAAATGCACACAAGACCGGAAGCCGGCGCATGGTTTCACTTCACTCCTCAGAACCGCATCAGAGTCAAAAGAAGAACATTAAAATAAAAACTTTACTCCTTCATCATGGAAGTCCCCAAAAATGGGGGTGCTTTCTGCCTACTTCACATCGTTACTTAAGAAATTATTAAGCCACAATTATTATTTTTTTGAATCATCAGCTATTTAAAAAAAACAACAACACAGGAATCTTTCACCAAAGTGTCACGCTGAATCTCTTACGTTAAAACAAAAGTAGAACTTAAAAAAAACCACTGTAAAACTACACGCAAGATCCTGTTTCTGTTATTGCAATGTTCTAAATGAGGTCACGGCCTCCGGGTCGCATCCGCACAACAACGTTTATAGCAGTTTGGTAGCCCTTTAAAAAGGGCTGACCGCACTGCTGTAACTTTGGAGCGCTTGATCCGGTCCTAAAGCGTCTGCTGGGATTTATAGGAGAAAACGCCACGCTCCACAGCAGACCATAAATCGTGGAGTTCCACAGGATAAAAACATGGGAGTTAAACTGGCTAGGATTATGCGGTGAGAGGCATTAAGCATCTCACGCCTTCTCCACCCTCGGAAACGTATCGTTTGCAGGATGCATGGAAATTTTAATGTTAATTTGAGATGCATGGAAATTTTAATAGTTGAATTCGAGCTGCCCCATCTAAAACACGTCCCCGTGATGGGAGGCTGGCGTATCCTTCCCAGTTTGATTCTGGCAATGGCTTCTCTTTTGCTAGAATCTGCTGCAAACCGATGATGAGAAAATGCGGAAAGGGAAACGGGGGCACCCGGAGCAGAGCGAGAAAACCATTTATTCTGAAATCAGCAATTCCCAAGAGGTGGGTGCTTTTTTTGCGGGGGGGAGCTTCTGCTTCTTAGCAGGTGGGAGATGGTGGAGGTGGAGGAAATGACGAGGCAGCCGTCGTGAATGAGCGGCTGTTGGGCCACGTTGTGGTTGCCTTCGAACAGAGGGGGACGTTGAGTGTGTGAAACCCCAGGTGTGACGCCCCGCATCCTGTGGAAAACTTTGCACCCGGGTGCTCCCTGCCAGCACAGAACGTAGGTCTTGGCGGCGGCCTCCGCTTTCTGAAAAGCCTCGCCTTCTTTTGCGAAAAGCAAGCTGTTCGTCTCTGACAGAGGCTTGCTTTCACAAATGAGCGGCCGGAAGCTCAAACTACTGTATTCTTCCATGTATAAGACACCCCATGTATAAGACGCTCCCATGTATAAGACACCCCCCCCCACTTTTCTAATCCAAAATTAAGAAATCTAAGTGGGGCTTAGCAAGTGCAGGGGGAAAGGGATCAAAGCGCTGCAGGATCGCTTTGATCCCTGCTTTCCCCTCCACTTGTTTTTGTTCTCTCCTCAGCTTATTTCCGTGCATAAGATGCCTCTCAATTTTTAGTCTAAAGATTTTAGACAAAAGTATAGTCTTATACATGGAAAAATACGGTATATTCTTTAGATATTCAGCACGTCATTGGAAGCAAAGCTCCCTTACAAGGGAGACCATGGCTCTTTGCCATCACACAAAGATTTGCTCTGCACATTGCAGAGATTAAGCTTGCTTCTGTTTCGGGATTGGATTCCAGGAGCGAAACATCGTTTCATTTGCAAATCGGATGGGATCGGGAATGGAGGTTTGAAGGAATTACATGTCTGGAGGGAAAATAATTTGTGCCACTGAATTCCAGCAGCTGGGAAGAGATGTCATCTTCCCCCACCATGCTTGCCATTAGATCCAGAGTTGCTTGGCTGGCTCTTCTGCGCCAAGGATTGCTGGACTGAATGGACCCGGGGTGTAAATTTGGTGTGGCCAGAGAGGTGCGAATGGGTCCCCGTTCTGGGGGAAGGGCTGGCCCCATGACCCATGGCATCGCTTACCTTTTCCTCATTTCTTTGGGCAGAGTGAAGACCAAAATCTCAAAACCATCTACGAAACGGTAAAAAACCCACAGCTTCCCCGAGGGGCAGAATACAACGTCATCATCTAGCAAACGCCAGCGTCCCAAAAGGACAGAAAAGGGAATAAATCCAGGAAATTGCCATCACCCGACTCAGACCAGCGTCGCCCTCTCCTACCTCACTCTTCCACATCAGGGCAGGATTAGAATCCAGAGCAATGAACGCCATCGGCGCTGAGCTCCTAAAATGGACCAAACAGGCCATGCCACCCGCTCCTGGATCTGTCCAAGAGAAAGGCATCTTTGGAACACAGAACCACACCAGAGCCACTTTTCCATGACATGAGACCACACGTGGGCAGAGCCGGTTGCACGTGGCTTTCCTCCAGTTCCTCAGCACCTTTCCAGCCTCTGGCCTGTCCCATAGCTGTGTCACGTCACCTCACGTTAAAGCTGGCACTATGGAGGCTGAAAAGCCCCCCCACAGGGGGGAACACATCTCCGTGTCCTCTCCAATTCACCCAGGGTCTCTGTTTGCAAAGGGACACGTGGTGGCGCTGGGGGTCAGAAGACCAGCCGTTGTAAGATCGAATCCCCACGACGGAGGGAGCTCCCATCGCTTGTCCCAGCTCCTGCCAACCTAGCGGTTCGAAAGCATCTAAAAATGCAAGATGATAAATAGGTACCACCTCGGTGGGAAGGTCATGGCATTCCGTGTCTAGTCGCGCTGGCCACATGACCACAGAAACTGTCTATGGAAAAATGCTGGCTATATGGCTTAGAAATGAGAATGAGCATCGCGCCCTAGAGTCGGACATGACTGATTAAAATGTCAAGGGGAACCTTTACCTTTACCACACCTCTATCTTCACTGATGCCTTCTAGTATCATGTCTTGACTGTTTTCTTCAATCAGGGCTGAGCACGATTATCGCCGGGCCACGAAAACAGCCGCCAGAGGCAAGCTTTCGCCTCCCACAGGGTTCTTCACTAAACTTGGTAGACTGCGTAGCTAAAAACGAGGACGAAAAGGGAACCTTTACCTTTACCTTTACCACATCTCTATCTTCACTGATGACTTCTAGTAATATGTCTTGACCATTTTCTTCAATCAGGGCTGAGCACGATCATCGCCGGGCCACGAAAACAGCTGCCAGAGGCAAGCTTTCGACTCCCACAGGATTCTTCACCAAACGCGGTAAACTGTGGAGCTAAAAATGAGGACAAAAGACAGGCAGACAATGGAGTCCTCCCTCAAATCAATCCAGAGCTCTCAACCAAAGCTAAAAGGCCTGAACTGAACCCATCGGAGTTTGGGCACGTCAAGAGGAGACTTCCCCACACACACACAAAAAAAGAGAATAAAGCTAGGTAAAATGGGAAGCAGAAGGAGCAGCTTTTTAGCGTCTTTTAATGATGTGAACTACTGTTGTACGTTTGTTGGAGACCCCGTGTGATCCCCATAGCAGACAAGCGGTACGTTGGCTTGCCAGAAAAACAGTCCGATTCAGAACACTTTTAAGGACCACAGCCCCTCCTCGAGGCCCTACAGACCTTATTCCTCCACCCCGATTCTTCCTTTTGCACCCGGATCCGACGGCAATGTTTTGTCCTTATATCTGTCTCCTTGGCCGGATTTTTAAAGCTTCAGTTTGAAGTCACTCCAGGAATGCTTTCTTGGGTCGCTGTAAAGTTTGTGTTAACTTCCTGCGGGTCATTTTACAAGGTTCCAGGATGCATAGTTCAGGGGTTGGGGGTTCGAATCCCTCACTGGGCCTCCTGGGAGAAGAGCCAGCCTAGGGGGGGGGGCCTTTGGGCAAGTGGCACGAATCCCTGCTCAGCCCTTGGGGGGGGGAGCAGAACGGGCAGAGCTTCTCCTTAAAAGATAAGGAAAAGATCTCATGTATTAACTTGAAAGCCCCATTAAGAGCACTATTGTGTCCGTTCTGTCTTGACGTCACAGCACACACACACACAAAAACTCCATCAAAGGTCCCAGTGCCTTCTGACGTGACCCATCCCATAATCGGCGCATCTTCCCCGCCAGGACGTTTTTTGGTTTAAATAAGCAAGCCACTCATTCTTAATCCACTGCACTTCTTAGGTGGAACGATATATGGATTGCGACTCTTAATTTTGGACAAGGTGCATCTCATCCGCGGCCTGCATTCCAGTGTAGGATAGTGCCAAAGGCTAAAGATGGAGGCCATAGGGGGAGAAAAATCCACAAATCACCAATCTCTGTTAAAAGAAACCTGTTATGGCTAAGCCTTAGAGGAGCCTTAGAGGAGACGTTTGAAACTTTGAGAAACGGGTGGCAGGGAAAGCGTACAAAAGCCGAGAAGCCGGCAAAAAAGGCTTCTATGCGCGTAGGGGTGTGTGTGTGTGTGTGTCTTTCCCTGCAAGCAAAGCTCAAAAGGCGAAATTCGTACTCGGGGCCTGAGGTTCCCCATCCTGTCAGAAAGGAAAGACAGCCCTATCACTGCTGCTGCTGAGTTTGTAACCACTTCCCTTTCTGCGCCTTCCATTTCTAGACAAACAGCAGGCGGGCAGGCCTTCCTCCCAGCCAAACCCACCCCATGGACTGTGCCTCTCTTGGCCGTTGGAGAGGACAGAAATCTACTCCGGGTTTTTTGGGGGGAGAATAAACCACGATTTTAGTTTAAAGCAAAGTGTTTCATGACGGATGCTACGAGGGTGTCCTCCTTCTTATGTGCCCTTGAACTCACTCCCAATGTTGGGGGGGGGCTTCTAAACCCATCAAGAGATCCTGCTGTCAGGGGGGCCGTTTCAGCCACTGGGCAACCCTACAGATCCGAGGCCTCCAAAATGCCTTGCCGTCAACAGCCCTGCTCAGCGCATGCAAACTCATAACCTGTGGCTTCCTTCACTGAGTTGTTCTATCTCATGCCCCCGCTTCCTCTTTTCCTGCTGCCTTTAAGTCCTCCTCGCTCCCCCCAAAAAACCTTCTTCTTTTCCATAGAGTCTGCTCTTCTCACGAGGTTCCCAAAGAGGGACACCCTCCGATCCATCGGCCACAAGCACGTTTCTGCCTATTTTCAGAGAAGTCATTCTGCCAGTCGTGGTGGGAAGCGATTTGCAAAAATAAGACCTCGACGTGGCTGTTTCCGGCCTGCAGGCCGTAGGTTGCCCACCCCGGTTGTGAACAGCAGGTCGCCTCCAAGGCCGGTCTCATAATTCCTCCGTGGCACAGGCCTGTGGCCAGGTTTCTCCAGGCACAGAACAGGCAACTGGAAGGATGATAAGCGCACCGGTGAGGCTATGGGATGGCCTGAGGGATCTGTCCCCGTTTTGAGGCTCCAATGTGGTAACCACCCCATTGCTGCAGAAGGTCGCCCTTCCTTTCTCTCATAAAGAGGAACTGGAGGCAGGAAGGGAGGCCAGAGACGGTTTCTCAATGTGCTTCCGACGGGTGGCTCTGGATCCGACAGCAGGCGCCCAATAAAGGCAGACCCCATGCGGTGGTGGTGGTGGCAGCTCTGGATCGTGGCCCTCTTTCCCCTGCCAGGTGAGTCCAGAAGCCTCTCATAACAGGCGCGGGGGGGGGGGAAGGCTTCGTTCTGAGCAACCTTTCCTCCAAGACCTTTTCTGTGGCCGAGTGATCTTTGCGCATCCCCTGCGCACGAAACTCTGAAAGGGGAACTTTGGAATTCTCCTTTTTTTTACTTTATATTTTTATCTACGAGGTCGACTTCCATGGACAGAAACGAAGCCACGGCAAGTTCACAAAAGGCCACGCCAGCCTCCGGGTGCATTTCCCACGTCTGAGGGGAAAGTGTGGGGCCAATGCACAGCAATGCGCTCTGATGCAATGTGGGGTTTTTTTGCCCCCAGCTTCTCAGGGGGAAGGGAGGGCGTAACACCAGGGCGATGTGCTCCGTTATCAGGGGCTCTTCCGTCTCCCGGGAAATGTGACGTGGTTTCCTGCGGACAGAAAGCGAATTCCAACAACCGGTCAGAGAAAAAGAGGACTATTATTAAGCGAGGGGATAAAGAAATTAATCGAATCAACAGGTACCCATTTCTCTCTGCCCTCCAAAATGCCCGACGTGAATGTTTTTGCAGATCCAGCATTGAAAGAAAGAAAGAAAGAAAGAAAGAAAGAAAGAAAGAAAGAAAGAAAGAAAGAAAGAAAGAAAGAAAGGTGTGAGGTATATATACGGGTTCTGGCATACAGAAACTGATATAACTATAAGGTAAAGGTTCCCCTTGACATTGAGTCCAGTCGTGTCCGACTCTAGGGGACGGCGGTCATTCCCATTTCAAAGCCACAGAGCCAGCGTTTGTCCGAAGACAGTTTCTGTGGGTTCTGACCTTTCTCTGGAGGCAAAAATGATGAAACTTGTCCTGCTTTGGGCATCTCATGAGATTCTCTGGAAAAAAAAAAAAAGACCATCCTGTTGGGAAAGGTAGAAAGGCAGCAGGGAAAGAGGAAGGCCTCATACGAGATGGACGAACTCCCTCAAGGAAACCACAAGCTTGAGGTTGCAAGAGCTGAGCAGGGCTGTGAAGGACGGGACATTTTGGAGAAAGCTCCTTCACAGGGTTGACGTTAAGTCGGAGGCGACTTGACAGCATGGAACAAGAACACGACACTCCAAAAAAAACCCCCAAAAAACAGAGTACAGTAGTGAAGTATTATCATTGCTCACCTTCCGGTCAATTTTGACTTAGGGTGACCCCTTTGTTTTTATGACCGGCGATTATCTTCCTTCCCAGCAAAACAAAACACACACACACACACACACACACACACACACACACACACACACACACACACACACACACACACAGAGAGAGAGAGAGAGAGAGAGAGTTAGAACAAGGCTCAGAATTAAACGCCGTCTTTCTCTGCTCTGTCCTCTCGACCTTAATGGGGACGAAACATCTTTCTCGGAAACAAAGGCCTGGTCCCCCAACATCACCGAGAGCAAGAAGGTCATAATGGAAGTCACGGATTCAAAAGCCGCGTACACACACACACACACACATATCCGTTTTCCCCTGGGTGTGTGTCCAGGGAGATATGAAGGTCCATTTCGAATGCAAAAGAGCTTTAAAACTTGCCCGGCCCCTCTTTCTGGGCCCGAGCCGGTGTTATCTCTGGTTTGCACGTGGCGATGGAGCAAAGCTTGCGAAAGAGCCGGCCTCGGGCTCCGAGTTCTGCTCCAACCCGAGGTGGCTCCATGGATCCCACGGGGAGCGGGGGGCGGCTGGAAGATAAAAGAGGAGTTAATGAACAGGCAGGCAAAGCTGCCAGCCGGCAAAAATGCAAATCTTTGGCTTCATCCCTCCAAACGCAACACCTTTGGTGAATTAATTGAGGTGAGAAAATGGCCACGTAATATCCAGAGGGTTTTCTCCGGAATTTGCTGCTTTCAAGAAAGGCCAGAGACGGAGAAAAAGCCTAAGAAAACGACGGGATGTTTGTTCCTCAAGTTTTATATTCCTATTTAGAGGACATTATACATTTTTGAAGCTTCGGTTAAAGGCTTCTAGCGGCTCAGGAGAAGGGCATGGATTCACAGGGCAGAACAGCTTCAAGTACACGCAGAGTCGTCCATCCCTCTTCCCCCCCCCATCCACTGGCACTTACAGTCTCATTCAGACATTAAGAAAGAATGAAAAGGTTTTGTTACTTACAAATCAGCAGATCCAACAGCAAACTAACAAACATGACTGCTTTCAACAACAGACTCTAGAAAGGGGGGGGAAGCACTGAGCAGAGAGGCGGGGAAAGGATGATTAGTTAGTGCTGGTTAGATGGACAGTCACGTCAACCCAGAAAAAGTCCCTCACGGCCATTTTGCCTCAAAATAGAACGACACAGAAACAAGGAGGAAGAGAAATTGAATGATCAAACATCCTGCCGGATTTCAGTGTGCACCTAAAGGCGGCCATTCTTTTCATTTCCATATCACAAACTAGATAGCTCAAAGCAATGAAAAATAGTGGGGGTGGGACCCACAACACAATGTTCATTCCACAGCACTGAATCCACACAGCGTAATGGACTGAGCAGGAAAATGCCCAAAAAAGCTGGAAACCACCAGCGTCGAAGCTCCACTGAACCCATCGCAAAAGTTGGGCGATCTGCTTAGCATGACATTAGCGACGGAGCTGGCTTAAGTGGCAAAAGACATCTATTTATGAAATTTACCTGCTTTTCAGCTTTCAAAACTTCCAGAAAGCTTTTTTTGTTTGTTTCTTCCCCAACAATGGGTCGGTGGAAATGAAATGTGGGATTCATTTAAAAATCTAACCTCTGGGGAAATCAGATTGTGGGACTTCTTTAAACCAGAAAGATGGATTTTTAGAGTCAATTTAACATACAGTGGTGCCTCGCTAGACGACGATAATCCGTTCCACTTAAATCAGTCTAGCGAAATCATTGTCTAGCGAAAAGCAAATCGTCGACTAGCGAAAATCGCTTGGTGAAGCAGGGACCAAACATGGTCCAGCAAAATTCCCCCATAGGAATCACTGTTTTGCGAATCGCTATAGCGATAGCAAAAAGTCAATGTCTAGCAAAAAAACTGTCATGCGGGGTAACTGTCTAGCGAGGCACCACTGTATTTATATATTTTTTGCTCTCCATCTCCTGTTTCCATAGCCCTACAAGCCGAGGAAGCCAGCGATCCCTCCAAAGGTGGCCCTAAAAGACATCTCAACCAGACGGGAGATGGGGCCCTTCCCACGACGACAGCATCGTGGGGGAATCGGGCCAGCAGGACGTGGCCAACCCGAAAGACAGGCGATGGGTGGGCGACGGAAACCACGTGGCTTTATGCCCCCGAGGAGAGCAGCAGCCCCAGCACGGAAAATATAACCAGTACGTGTCACACGAAGGGGGGGGGGGGAAAGGCCGCAGGATTGTGAATCAGATCCCCCGTCCTGTTTTGCCACTCTGCTCATGAAATTCCAGCATTGTGGGTGGAAGGCTTTTAATTTTAAAAATAGACATATAGAGGAAGGTGGGACAGTCAGATCCCGCGTGGCTTTCCTTTCTTGGGAGCCCACGGACTTATTGCACAGAAATGTGGGTTGACCCAGGCTGGTGGGTGAATCAGGGGAGGAACCAACCAAGACATTAATCATCTTAAATTCCTGTTTTGAGGCTTACGACGGTTCTGATTATGATTTCTGATGCCTTCTTTAACATGTTCCAACTTGAGCCCTCTTATGGGGAGGAAGGCGGCTTATAAACGAGACTTAATACAAAATAAAATAAAAATTGGGCAGTCCTGAAACTGCCTGACTTGAACACACGGGGGCTCGGTTTTCAAAACCTGCCCCCCAAATTCTATGATTACAATTATTTTTGTGACATTTTTGTTGGCAAAGCCCACAGTAGGTTTCGCAGCCAGAGACGGGGGGCGTTCAGTTCCCCACGGTGGCTGACTCCCCTCCAGCTCTGAGGTTCTAAGATGATGCAGAATGATTGGCCTTCCAGCTCTGCCGTTCTAAGATGATGCAGAATGATTGATGATGATTGATCCTGGACATTTGGAAAAGACCATCCTGTGCTGGGGAAGGCGGGAGGTGGCAGGAAAAGAGGAAGACCCCAATACAAGATGCACGGACCCCCTAAAGGAAACCACAGGCTTGACTTTACAAGAGCAAATTATTATTCTAATATCTGGTAACTGTGGAGCAATTGGCATGCTTTATTTTCTTGTATTTTTTTAACAACAGCGTTGTAAGGTAGGCCATCTCCAAGCCCCCCCTCCCATCCATGGGTTTAGAGACGGGCCATGGGGTTAAAGCTTCCTTCACCTTCCTCCTAACCCTCTTCGTTCCACAAAATCTCTCGGCCTCAGACGCTTCCCCAATTAAATCAGAATTAATGAGGGAAAGACCATCTCTTCTGCATGTCGGAAATCCCATGCTCCAGAATCCACATGGAGCAAAACGTTTAGCAAACAGAAGGCTGGGCGCCTCTGTCCTGGACCAGACTGAAAAGTGGCTACGGAGAGCTCCAGCTACGATCCGGCCCGACTCTTAGGCAGGGCGAGGTAGATAGAAAACAGTGTGCTGTGTGTCTTATAAACTTGCCAGGCTTCCTCGGGGGGGGGGGGGGCAACGGAAGGCATTTTTCCATTGCCATAGCCCAAGAAAATATAGTATGGGGTTTATGTCATACCTGGACACAGAAGGAGAAGCAAAAAAAAAAAAAGTCTGGGCTAGAAAGAGAGCCAGGTGGAACCTCCAGCTTCAGGGGCAGTGTATCTGGGAATCCCAAGTACTGGCAGTCTTTAGAGGACGCCCGTTGGGAGAATCCTCCATCCCGCACCAAACGATACGATGCTCTCGCTTGTCTCCATCCACGACCGTTAAAGGGGTACGAAAGGGGTCTTCCACTGAACGTGGAGATCAGACAGTTCTTAGGACGTTTCTCTTTGGGGGTCTTCTTGTCCGGCTCCAAATAAGACCAGCTTTCCTTCCTTTTAAAAAAACACTCTCTTTTTAAGGAAGGCTGCTCCGACCGACCATCGCCGTTTCCTCGGTGAATGGGACCTGCAACATTACCTTGCACTGCGCCGTGACAGGTGGAGGAGGAGGCGGCGACGTGAACTTCACCTGGTTCCGCGGGGAGCGGGCCGAGGCGGTCCTCTCCTCGGAGGCCACCCTGCGGATCACCCAGAGGCCTCCGGACGGGTCGCTGGATTACACCTGCGCCGTCCGGACCAAGGAGAGCCAGAGCGCCAGCACAATTTCTCTGGCGGATCGCTGCCACGGTGAGTGCGGTCCCCTGCGCCGTAGGTCTTTGGCACAAAGCAAGAGGCCAACAACCCCCCCTTCTTGCGCCGCTTCTTCTTAGACCCCGTGGACGATTGCATGTCAGAGATCTTCAGCTTTCGTCTTTCGCTGCCTAAGAATCGTAAAACCGCAGGGGCAGAACCATCTTGGGGAAAGCTGAAGTAGGTCCCTCCTGGCAAGGAGAACCAGGCAGAGCCTCCCTCACCAGGAGCAGTCTATCTGTATGTACATTGGTTGGCCATCCTTTGAGCCCACCTGATGGCCACGCTGTGTTGGGTAACTACAGTTAGCCAGAGTTACTTTCCTGGGACCCCCGGCTGTCGGTCGCTCTGACTTCCACGCCAATGCCACCCACGGAAGGGGGGGCTGTCCATGGTCCTGTCTCCTGCGCTCCATCACCCTTCAAAGCAAGTCATTTATTCTAAGGGGCTCCCTCGGCAGGCGGAGTCCTCCATTTTCAGTCTACCTTCAAAGCAAGTCATTTAGTCTGAGGGGTTCCCTCGGCAGGCGGAGTCCTCCATTTTCGGTCTGTACTGTCTTTTATCTTTGGGGAGGTGGGAGGTGACCCTCCTTGGGGGTTCGGAGAAGGCTGAACCGAGGGCGAAGGAGTTTAACTCTCTTTTCACAGGAGAGACGCCACCATTTCCCCACCAAAACTAGACCCAAACTCATGGATTTTAAACACATTTCTTGGAAGACAGCAGCGCCACCTAGTGGGCGGAGGCCGGCTCCAAAAACGGCACCGAAAACCTTTCCCGAGACAAATTTCGCGTATTTTTGGAGAGAAGAGCGAATCCCTCTGGCTTCCAATCCCTTCGGTCTTCCCAGCAAGAGTAGACCCACTGACTCGACAGGACCTCCTCATCTATGGATTGACCAAACCGCGATTGATTCGGAGGATCTGCTTGAGCGGGAGACCCAATGCTGAATTGGGGGCCAAAAACAAAAATTTGTCACATCAAATCGAGCAGCCATATCTAGAAACACGTCCCAAGGTGGGGGAAATAAATTGTTCTTCTTGTGAGAAGCTTCCTTCTCTCCAGGACCTTCATCACTCGATCCTGAATTTTATGGAACAGTTGCTAGACGCTCAGCCTCGAGATGTGTTCGATCCTGCAAATTATACTCGGCCCACAAAATTATGCACTTTACAGTGACTTCTTCTGAATTTGAGATTTGTAGATCAGGCAGCACTTACCCTGTTCAAGCCAATTAGGACAGAGAAAATAATATTTGGTCTGTTCAACATTTGGAATATCGGAATATATATTCTACTTTAAATCTTCCTTCCTCTGTTTCTCCAGAGACTCCAGGCTTCTCGGCTGGCAGTTACGTGAAATACTTAATCCCGCTCGTGGTCGCGCTTGTCATTTTGCTCATCCTGTTCGGCATGTACCGACGGAAAAAAGGACAAATAGGTGAGGACCGGCAGGGAATTCTCAGGGCCACGGAGCATCCCCCGAGGAGACTTTGTCCCTTTGATCCTTCGTGATGGATTTCTGTAACGTTTAGATTGAAAAAAATATTAATTTGCATGTCGGGAACGCCTTCGGGGTATAGAAAAAACCGCTCCTGAAACAGTAAATAAATGAAATCACAGGTATTACCATAAAAAGAAACCAAGAAGCGAACATGGGGGCCCAAGATTAAAGTATTAGAAAGTTCGGAGTCAGCAAGAACATTGACATCCTGAATTTTGCAACAGCTTGGAGAAAACTGTGGTCCACAGGCAGACAAAACTTTTCCAGGAGGTGGAAATTTTGTTGGAAACGCTTCTGGTTTTTAAAAGGACACCCTCTGTTGTTTTTTTTAAAAACAGTACTTATGTACCCTCAAATCAACGCTGGTGTTATCATCAGCATCACCAGCTTAGAACTGCAGAGTTGGAAGGGACTTTATAAATCATCAGGTCCAGCCCCTGTGAAGGAGGCACAAGAGGGGATTCAAACTCCGAACCTCTGGTTCTGTAGGCAAAGACCTGAACCATTGAGCTGTAGACCCTCTTGAGATTTACTAGGTCTTAAAGGGCTTGGGTTTCCAAGTTCCTTGACCCACCGGCCACACAGGGTCCCTCTAGATGATCTCAGCTGAACCCCTCTCTTGGGAGGGGACTCAAATTCTCATCCCCTGACCTCCCAGGTAGTCACTGCTTACCCACGGAGCTCTACTGCTCCGAGAAATATAGTTTTACGCTTCTCTAAAACAAACCGTTGCCCCTCTAGAAGGAAAAAAAATAGCAGAACATCGGGAATAGGCACCCAGAAATATATTTTTTAAAAGCATGCATGTATTAAGGAAGAAAAAGCAAGGGTTTGACGGGAAAAGTTGTGAACATGATTGCAGGATTATTTTTTCTCCTGTATTAATTTGATAAAATGTCCTTTCCCCCCCCCCTCTGGCTGCAGGGCGCCACAGTGGGACCGTTTCCATCAATGAACCCTCAGGTAGGAGACCGCTCAAGGGACGCCCCTCCTATCTTTATCCCTGACCAGGTGGGAAGGATGTGCTTTTAAAGGAGGAGGAGGAGGAGGCTGCCATTTTTTAAGAACAAAATGTTGCAAAGTTTTTAATTTTTTTGTTGTTGTTGTTGTTAAATTCCTCTCACTGCGCAGGAGACGTGCAGAGATTCACAGAGCAGAATAGCTTGAAGTGCCCCCAGATTAGCCCACCCCATTTTCTCATTAGCTGGCACTTAACGGTCTCGATAACTTACTCGGGGATATTAGGAGGAGAAAGAATTTGTTTACTTACAGTTGAACGGATCATGCAGCCAACTGAGAAAACATGACTGCTTTGAACAAAAGACGTCAACAAAATAACTGGCTGCTTCCAACAGACGACTCAGACAACTAACTGCAGAAAGGGAGGAAAAAGACACTGAGCAGAGAGGCGGGGCTCTCTCGGAAGGAGGGAGCGATTGGTTTGTGCCAGATAGATTGACAGCCACCCCAGCCCAGAAAAGGTCCCTCCCAGCCGAACCTACTAAAGTCAACATGCAAGATTGCAAAAACTTCCAACAATTTCCCCCTTTTTCCCCCCTAAAAATGGTCTTTTTGAAATGTTTTTAATTCTTTTCCAAAGGTCCCTCCCAGCCGAACCTACTAAAGTCAACATGCAAGATTGCAAAAACTTCCAACAATTTCCCCCTTTTTCCCCCCTAAAAATGGTCTTTTTGAAATGTTTTTAATTCTTTTCCATAAGAGGCCGGTCCCTCCCAGCCAAACCTACTAAAGTCAACATGCAAGGTTGCAAAAACTTCCAACAATCCCCCCCCCTTTTTTTCTAAAAATGGTCCTTTTGAAATGTTTTTAATTCTTTTCCGTAAGAGGCCTTTTATTATCCCTGCACGTTCCCCCTGACTTTTTCGTCTTATAATGGACGAGATCCCATTGTTAAGCGGCATCAAGAGTCGTCCTGTGGAAGGAGTGGGGATTTGGCAAGCCAACGCCTTTGTGAGTCCCATTGATTTCAATGGGCCTACTCGGGGGGGAGGCTTACTCTCAGAACGGCAGAGCTGGAAAGTGACCCTAGGGCTTCTCGGGGGGGCATTGGGCTCAGTGAGGGGGCTGTAGAGGCTTTGCTGATCCTGAATTCTGCTTTGCAGACTCCGATCAGGAGGGCTACGTGGCTGCGGCGCACAGGAGCTTCCCCCAGGAGGTAATTTGGGCTTATATATTTCCCCGAGAAGGAGGCTGGAGACCTGCTTCCTTCTCTGGAATCCCAGAACTGGATGGGACACCAAAAGGTCACTTAGTCCAACCCACTGAAGGTTCGAAGGGGACCCTCTCCCTTCGGTGGCATTTCAGCATCTTTAAACCTTTACAAGAACGGAAACGTCTTTAGGACAGGCTCCCACATCATCTTATTATTAAGGCCAGCAATTCACAGACAAAAACAGCTTTGTTCTCCCCTCTGCAGGCTTTCACGCCAGTCCCCGAAGAGACCCTACAAATCACGAAAGCCTTAACCAGCTGCAGAGACATGGAAATCCTAGAGGCGCCGGATCAACCCCCGAGCCAGGAATAAATCTCGCTTCCCGGATCAGGTCCTCTCGGGTTTCTGGATCACGAAGAGATCTCCGTTGCCGGATGGGTGCGAGTTCTGATCCAACACCTCCAAAAATGTGGTTAGGGGGAAAAAAGTGCACCCACATCTTAGGGGGAAAACCCTCATGTCTCCAATCCATTCCAAGCTCCGAAAGGTGCCACAAAAATCGACCCTTCCCTAAACCACGTTTTCTTCATGTGGTGCAGCAGAACACTTTAAAAATGGATCTTCAAGCAAAACAGGCTATAGCTGTAGCAGGGAGGGCAAATGGGGTGAATCAAATAAAACCAATTATTTAAAAATAATATAAAGATGAAATCCAGATATATTTTTTTTCCGTCTTGAAGCAAGGGTAGCACCTCACACACCTTTCATCCTGCAGGAAATCCAGCTGTGCTTCCAAAAAAACAACAACCCAAAAAGACTCCAATAAATTGTTATTTCTAGTCTTGTTAGGGGAGGGGGGTCGGGCAGTGCCTAGACAATCGTGGGGCTGGGGAGGGGGAGGCCCCCCACAAAATTTGCCCAATGCATGCATTTGAAATCACACCCCCTTTGGAGAGATTATTCCTGCCTGAAAGTTTTCTTCCAAAAATGTAGGGGTTGTTGTTTTTTTTAATCGAAAAAGCCCTTTTGGTGCCTCCTGGGGGGGGCAAATTTCTAATCAATATATTTTGCAAGAGCTTCCACAGAGAAAAACTAAGCAGTGGCTCCAATCGGTGCTTTTCTGTTTTGTTAAAAAAAGAGGCAATTTCCTCCAAAGAAGAGCGAGCTTCCTGTAACTCCCCCCAACCCGGATTTACCCACATGACCGTTTCTTCGCTCGCCTGCCTGGCCACCCTCCCTCCCAGCCTTGCTTGGAATGGTGCTTAATTAACCAGTTAATGAGCTACGGTTGGTCGTTAGAGGCTAAACACCACCCGAGCTTCTGAAAGCCAGGAGCAGCCAAGAGGTTTGGAGGTTGGGGAAGACACAGCCCTTGGCCAATAGGAGCTGAACGCTCTCAAGTACATAAAAAACGATGCCACCGAATTTGATGAAAGCAAACGGAGCAGAACGGCCCAGGTTCCCTCTTGATCATCTTCCACCCCAACCATGTTTTGCTTAGAAAAGAGGGCCTGATACGCAACACCAATATTTATTCCTCTTGCATCTTTGTGATTGATCCGAGGTGTTCTCCATAACAACCCTACAGGGTAGGCCAAAGAAGCGGCAACAGGTCTAACCCTTCACATCTCAGTGGCATGATTTGAACCCAGATCTCTGACATTTCAGTCCACCCTTTAAGCACCTAAGTAAATTCTTAATGGCTTTGGTGCCGGACGGAACCTTCTCCCGGTGCCCGACTGGTTTTTCACTGCCAATCCGATTTTTCCCTGTTAGGAATTAAGAGGGAGAAGTGGAGAGAAAAAGAATGCCAGAACTTCCAAAAGGTGTTTATTCTTTTTTTAAAAAATGTACAGTTTTACTTCCTATTTTTATGAAAAAAACAAACAAACCCCCAAACCCTAACATTTCCGTAATGCTTAGTACCACTGCAAAACTGTAAAAACAACATTTTATATATTAAAAAACAATTTTACATTTTACAATTTTCTACACGCATGCACAAGGTTGTTGCTCCCATTGTTATTTTTTTTTAAATCCCCGACTCTGTCTTTTAAAAATAAAAAATAATAGTATTTTTAAAAAAAACAACTCTGAAAGCTTGTTCCTAAATTCAGTGTCTGTGTGTGAGTTTTAAGGCGGCGGCGGGGGGGGGGTTAGGGTGGATAAAACCCGTTCTTTTACATTTTACAGGTCACACGCAAGGCTTGGTTGGGTGGCTCCCGTTCACAAGCAACCCTCGCGGCAAAGCCCACTGAATTTGGCTTGCCACCACGTGGGAAACGGCAGTGAAGTCACAGCTTAACGGCCAGGCTTGGCCACGCACAGACAGATGGACGGACGGATGGACGGTTTAACTGTTGGGGTGATTTCCAGGCTTTACGTGGCCCGTGGATGGTTTTTTTGTGGGGGGAAATACACCCCACGGGCGCCTGAACTTGATTTAGCCGCAGACGCAGAGGGGTTGTCTCAGTGCGTCTCAGTGTGGGACCCCGAAAGGGCAGGATTTGACCCAGGGCTGAACATCCCCAACCACAAGAGGAAGAAAAGAGGAGAGGCCAGCCATTCAAGGTGCAATGGTGGGGGGGAAATAAGTATGCAATAAGGCAGAAAGATGAAAAAGACGGACACGCAATAGAAGGCAAAAAAAAAAGGACAGCCATGGGAGAAAAGCAGGATCTTTTTCGGTCGGGCGTTTTCTAGATAAAACTTTCTCTTGATTTATCGGCAATCCTGCCCCGTGAATATTTTTCACATCCGGTGGCTGGAGCTGCAGCCACGGACCGGCCACCCTCTATGCGAGCTCCGCCGTGGCATTTCACATTTTAAAGACATTTTTTAAAACCGCAGGGCGTGGCACGAACCTTCGCCGGCCTCCTCCGTCGGCGTCCTTTCCTCCTCTTTCGAAGGCATTTCGGGAGGGGTGTGTGTGACAAATTTGCCAACGTCCGCCCTGCGCCGCCAGAGGCTGAAACCACGGAGCTGCCTGGCTCCGATTTCCATAGGCAACGGACAGGAATTTTCAGAGTTTTCACGTTTAAAAAAAAAGATATTGAAAAGGAAAAAAAGAAAGAATACGCCACCCCCCACAACAGGGAACTCAAGTTTAAAATTCACAGTGATGCAGCCGGAAATCTCTTTTCCCACAACATTTTCGTCGCCCGAACCCTAAACAGAATCGTCCGCCACAAAGACCTCACAGGCTACTTGAGAGCATCTGAGAAACTCTTCCTAGTTTGTTTTAAACCTTATAAAATCCCTGGTAAAATGACGCTTGTGTTGTCCACCAGTGACCACACATTCAATCCGCATTTTTAAATGGGTTTTCCCCCCCAAAGGGATCGGTGTGTGTGTGTGTGTAAATGCATAAAGGGATACGGCCTGTGTTGTCCACCAGTGACCACACATTCAAGCGGCATTTTTAAATGGGTTTTTCCCCCAATGGGATCGTGTGTGTGTGTGTGTGTGTGTGTGTGTGTAAATCCATAAAGGGATACGGCTCTGAATGGCCAAGCAGGAGACAATCAGGAGGGTCCCTCCCTGACCAAAAGCTGGCCCCCAGGCAGGAACTAAGGGGGCTGCTGGGTCGCTCCAGATGTTTGGCCACCAGCCCTCCACAGCTGCATAAGGCAGAGGGGAGGTGGCCACCTCTTACACGGATGGAGAGAGGCCCCCAGATATCTTGAGAGGGGAAAAACGTAAAGGGTATCCAGGGATATGGTGCTGCCCAATTTCACCAGGCCCGGCCCGTTTTTGCACCATCTCACCCGGCACAGAGATCTGTTGAGCTCAAAAACTTGCAACACGCTCCGCCAACATGCCTGGATTTTTTTGGGGAATTTGCTTCCAACAGGTTGGTGATGCCCGAGAGCTCCCCAGAGAACCAAGCGCAAAGAAAACATCATCTCCGCCTTTTTAACATCCCCATCTCAGACAGAGAGAGGAGGGGGGAAAAAAAGCTACAGCTTTCAAGTAAGGCTTGAACCACAAAGAATTCAAGGAAATTAGAACCAGGGACGAACACCAAACTGCCGGGTGGAAAACCATTATTTACAAACCGAGGGAATTTCTTTTCTGAAGGACAGAGATGAGATCAT